AGAGAGCGAATGGGGGAGGGAAGGAGACAGAGAAACAGAGAGACATATAAAGAAAGAAAGATAGATAAATGAACAAATAAACAGTCTATCAGACTCTATAACAACGCAATAACATGGGACAAGGAACTGCACAAATGATTATGTACTCTATAAATAAATACCCCGCCTCAACAAAGGGAAGAAAGGGGGGAAAAACGAAAGAAAAAAAAGAAGAAAAATTAACACGCCAATGATAGTTTAATCATTAGTCTGACTGACTGATTCATCAGCTGATTGCCCCGTATCGATTAGCTGATAACGGCTGATCGATACAGAACGGCCTGTGATGTGAGGGGAAAAATACCTGTGTGGTTTAGGTGCAGAGCCGCTGGTAGAGAAAATAGCTGGACAATTTATTTATAATGAATAGGAGGCTTCATTTAGTTATCTAGGAAAATTATCTCTTTTTAGTTTTTGTAAGAGTTTTACGGCACTTGCAACACAATAAGGTCATTTAAGTGCCAAAGACTAGAGGTGTTACAAGAGAGTTACAAACACGAAAAAGAAGGAGGGGAGATAAAGACGATAGATGTTTGATAGGAAAGAAGAAGCAAACCACACCAGAGCACCCGCCAACCACCCACATAGGAGGCTTCATCAAGGAAAACTATCTCTGCCACAGTCGTTGGTATAGAATCTACCTGTGATGCGCTTCTTTGTAGCAATTAGTCGAAGACCAAGGTTCAATTCCCGAGCGGAGAAACAATTGTTTCATTGATTTGTTTGTCTGTTTGTTTGTTTGTTTGCTTGTTTGTTTGTTTGTTTGTTTGTTTGCTTGTTTGAGTAAAGAGAAGCTCATCGACAATGGTCATTTAATGTTGTGAAAAAGTAAGACAGACAGAAACAACAGAGGTGAAAGTAAAGAAGTAAGACCTACCAGTGGCGCCCTCCAACCGTCCACCAAATTTTATCGTACTCATGGGAGTAGAAAATGCTGTCATTCAAGCAACAACAACAACAAAGGCGTTTACCTCTTTATTTAAACAACAACAACAACAACAACAACAACTTCCTGCAGTAAAAGGCGGGGGGAGGGGGGCACTTTTAGGACTAACTAAACCCACTTCAAAACGAACCACACACATACAAACTAAAATCATATCGAACAAACTCTCCCACCCGGTACCCTACCTATGAGAGTTGGAGTCGTCTTTATCCGTGGTCACTTTCTGTCCATTCCTGTACCACGTGATGTCCGGGCTGGGGTCTCCCTCCGCCTTACACAGCAGTTTGGCCGGCTCGTTCTTGCCCACGTACTGGTCACTGGGGCTCTCGATGATCCGCGGGTTGTCTAGGGGAGGGAACAAAGAAAGGAAGGTCCAATTAAGCATTGAGCATTGACATTTATCGTCATAATAAGTTCATAAACAAAAACAGAACTAAATAAATAAATAAATAAATTAA